AATGAGTAACTCTTTTGCCATGTGTCACCATGTTAGACATTGTAATTAATATCATGACACTTGTTAATCTATTGACACTTGTAATTAATATCATGACACTTGTCAATCTATTAATTCTCCATTTCAAATTTCAAATTTCAAAATTTAAATCACATTTTAATTACATTAAATTAATAATATTAGAATTAAAATAAAATAAAATTTATACCAATTATAATAAAATAAAATTTATACAAATTATAAGATGATATATTGTACGTATTTATATGAATCAACGATTATAATTTTATATATAATTAAAAAAATATCTTTTATTTAATAAGTTATTTAAAATTATTAATTAATAGTTTTGAGTTTTTACTTAGAAAGTTTAATTAATTTTGTAACCGTGGTTCCCATGGGTTATAAACTAGCATATATATATATATATATATATATATATATATATATATATATATATATATGTGAGTTGGTTTTGGAATTTGTCCCGTTTCTTATTCATCCTGGCTATGGAAGGCTTGTATGTGGTTTTGTATCAAGCTATTAGGATGACTAATGTGTTTTAAGGAGTTCAGGTGGGTGGGGCATCTATAGAGGTTTCTCATTTTTATGTAGATAATGTAGTTCTACTTTTTGATTGGTCTCTGGAGAACGCTAGGTGTATTGTGCGTTTTATGGTGATCGGGGATTAAGATTAATATGCTAGAAAACAAATGAGTTGATAGGGAGTTCCTTTTTCGTAGCTGAAGGAGGTGGTGATGTGGGTTGGTTGTGCGGCTACTCGTATTTCATTCATTTATTTTGGTCTTCCTGTTGGTGATTCAATGGTTAATGCTTGGGAAGGTTTATTGGAAAGGTTCACTTTTATACTATTTATTTGGAAGTCAAAGACCATCTCTATTAGAGGCAGGCTTACTATTCTTAGGTATGTTATTGGTACTTTGGGTTCATATTACATATATGTGTTTGATTTTCATGTTCTACTTCTTAAAGCTCCAGAAGTTTTGAGAACTCGTTTTTCTGAGGAGCGAAAGCTTCATTGGATTCGGTACTCTTGTGTTCTAGCTAGTATATTGGATGGTGGTTAGGTGTTGGTAGTTATGGTCATATAACATGGTTATGTTATTTAAATGGCAACGATTTTCTCATGATGCGAATCTGTTATGGTTTCTATTGTTGTGAACAACCCTCAAGAGTCAAGACTACTAGGTCATGTGAATTTTGTGGTTGCTTATACAAAAAATTTTGTTTTGTATCACATGATATTTGATTTCATTCATTCTATTAGCATATAACTGCTAGTACTTGATAAATACATAAACTATTATTCTATTAGCATATAACTGCTAGTGCTTAATAAATACCTTGGCAATTAAGCTTTATCGGGATTATTATGGTTGACCTTGTTATGATGTTGAGATTTTATCATTATCATTACAATTAATTATGTTACAAAAATTAAGGTGATACAACATACACAAAATAACAAATGGTTAGAAGGGAGAGCATCATCAAAATAACAATGGTTAGAACGATGAGCATCATCTAATTAGAAAAATAAATCTTACTAGTAGATGATAGGATAAATAAAAAAATTACTTATTATATTTTTGAATCATCAAAATAACAATAGTATGTCAATTTTCACACAAATGAAAAATGCCAAACTATTAGATGTAATGTCAATACTTTTTTTCTAGAATATTGCAAAGAGAAATATATATTAAAAAAAATTAAATTTGTTATTGAAAATGTAGAATACATACCTTAGATTGATCAAGGGTGGTAGTTATAATGGTATTGTCAAAAGATAATTCATTGTTCCAAAATTTCGCACCACCACCACCACCGATATGTTTGAGAGTTTTTAAGCTACTAAGATGGAGAGAATCAAGATGAGGGAACAAGATGGTACTTGTGTTGGTAAATGTAGTCATTTCTTCATCCTTATCATCTCTGTTTGAAACAACTTCTTCAATACCATCACAAAACTCTATATGGACTTTCTTTAGGTTGGAAAGAAGTTTTGCCATGAGAGGTGAAAACAAGTACTTAATTCTTCTGCACCCATACATGTATATGGTTGTGAGGTTGTAGAATGGGGATTCTGATTGTTCTTTTGGAAGAGTGACAAATTTATTCCAGTTACACTTCCACACATGACTCATGTTGTTCATATAACGGATATATAGATCCTCAAGGTAGGGAAGTACTATTTCTTGATTATGGTGAGTTGTTACCAATTCTCTACTTGTTGGACTCTCTATCTCAAACACCACATCCACTCCTTGACATTTCATCAATTTGAGTTTGTGGAGGTTCTGGGAAGAGTGTGTGAGACACGATAGGAATGAAATACCAATCTGTACGTACATATATTCCAATTAAACGCTATAATTAGTAACTTCAGTTGGTTAAAAATGACTTGTATGAACGATATATCAATATATAATTGCACATTCGTTTACAATTCAACTTTATAATTTTGGATTTGCGTTGGCTTATTCTGAATTTAGGTAAAATTTCAAGGAATATTTGGAAATTATGGATGATGTCTCCTTTTCAAGTAAAGGAATTTTAATAATTAGTTGTAACAAAATTATGTCATACGAGTGGCAAAAATCAAAAATCAAAAATCAAATTTTACAGTTATGCTTAAATAATAAGGATAAAAAATTTAAGGGTCCAAAAGAATCAAATCAATTAAGATGTTAAGGTATTTATAACAAGAAAAAAAAAAGACTCTATTCGGGCAAACTAGATGAAAAACTGGTTTTTAGCTTATAACATGACTTATCAATAAGTTTACTTATAAGATATTTTGTAAACTATGATAAACTACTTTTATTGTTTTACCAATTGCTAAATTATAATAAGCTAGCTTATTATTATTATTATTATTATTATTATTATTATTATTATTATTATCAAATAGGACCAAACTGTAGTGCTTAATCTAATTATAAGAAGCAAAGCAACAAATTAAAGGGTGGTTAAGGTCGGTAAATATTATTTCCTCATCTCTTACAGCCTATAAATATATGTATTTATTTTCAAATATCGCCCTTTTTGCAAGGTTAAGGGACAACGAATTCGAACTTAATTTGGCATAAATATTAAGAAAACAACATTACTAACAACTAGAAACCATTTTCGAATTTAATATTAACAATAGATCATTTGAAATATTACTATAAATGACCGCAAAACATTTATTATTATTATTGCTACACACATAATTTGTAAAATCTTTAAAATATACCTAAATTTTTTGTAAATTTTCTCAAGTCATTATAAAAAAAAGTTTCTTTTCAATATAATTTATATTCTTTATTTATATGTAATCATTAAAAAAATACAGTGCTTGTATTTTTTATTACAAATATTATTTTTACACTTGACATTTTTAGTTATTAAACATGTTAAATTAGCCACATGATTATATCCAATAAAAAGCCACTTGGTTATGAATAATATACTTTTGGCTTTTAGATTTTGGCCACAAAAGTTTTAGGTTTTAGACTTTGGCTATAATATTTTCGTATGTTAGTAGGTTTATGTGTACAAACTAATTAAAAAATCGTCCCTGTAATTTATATAAAAGGTCCTAGGCAGGGATTTTTTTTTTACGGAAAACAGTCCATGTGTTTCAAAAAATTAGAAAAATGGTTCATGTTTGATAGAAAATTATAGATTACACCCGTTGCAAAGCGGACATCGGAATATGAAGTTTAGGAGGGGCGTCTAGTTTAATTATTATAATAAAAAAATAATAGTTAGATAGATTTTATAAATGATGTGTAAATAGAAACTTTTATTAATGGGAAATTATGATATGTTGCATTTTATGTACTTATTACATTTTAAAAAACATTTTTTACTAATTGTTTATATAAAAAAAAAGATATGTTACATTTTATAAATGACATGTTAATAATAATATACATTAGCTTATCGGTTAGTAATGTTGTTTTTCTAACTGTAATTTTTTGTAATTGTTTAACCGCTTATCTCTTTGATGTCGATTAGTGGATGCATGTCGTGTGCGCGTGTTATTTGATGAGGTCTTGACAAGTCAAAAGGAAAAAACAAAAAGATTAAGGGGATGTGTCAAACCAAACCTTAATTAAACATAAACTAAGATTGAAATCCATACATACCTCTTGCTTTTCCTCTTGGCTACTCTTTTCCGATTCATTGAATATCCCTCTTTCTCCTCCGCAATCTTCGATCGAAATCTCCATAAGTGCCCCCAGATCAAAATTGGCACCGGTAGGTGTGAATAAATTTCTGAACCTCTTACATCGTTTAACCATTATTTTTTCAACAGCTTGAAAGCTACGGATGTTGACACCAGAGTTAACTTGATCACCTTTTATCCTCCACACCTCTCTTAGCTTCCCTAAACAGTCTACTTCAATGCTTCTCAAGTTGGTTTTGATGCCGCCTTCTCCAATTTCACCAGCACAATCCAAATCGATGTTGAATAAGACTTCAATGGAACCACACCACTTGACTTGAAGCTCTTGAAGATGATGTAGCAGAGGCATGGGATTGCATGGAAACAAATTCATAAGTTTATCGCAACTATTCACATAAATCTCTCTCAGATTAACTTCATCACTCGTCCTAAAGTCACAAGGCCATATCTCCTTCAAATTATCCATATGAATAATAGACAATTTCTCCAACTTAGGAACTAGAACCTGCATAACAATATATCATCCATTAATAGCCTCATCCAAACAATGCTTACAAACAACTTTTTAAAAACTTTTAATTGAAAAGATTATTTGAACTGTATCATCATAAACCATATTTACCTCTGCCTTCAAAAAACAGGATGTTTCCAGCTTATTCTTGGGATAAATGCTTGTGATATTTCCAATTCTGCTAAGTTTCAACTCCACGAGTTGTAATAACTCAATTCTGTTCACATTATGGCACAAACCCGATAGCTTTGGTAGCCCAAACAAACATAAAACTTTCAGCTTTAAGAAAGTAATTGTCTTTTTTCCAGCATTCTCACTACAGATGAGTTCTTCCATATTATCACATGAATCAACTTCAAGATGCTCTAGATTTGACAAATCTTTGGCTACACCAATTGTGAAAAGGTATCTCAACTCAGCACACATGGAAACGACAAGGACTCTTAGAATTTTGAATGATGAGGGTTGAGGAAAACGTGAGGACTTCACATCAAGATCACCAAGATCATTCATATCATCAACACTTAAACAAAGCATCTCTGTTTTCACAAACAACTCGTTCAGTCTAGAGTCCAATAATTCACCTTTCTTAGTAACCAACTTCAATGTGTTTTGGACAGCATACATGTGCTTCATGTAATCTCCATATAAATAACGTCGTCCCACTGAGATCTTGAATTTCTCAAGTTTTTCAAACGACATATTCTTTGGTTGGGCATTGTTTCGAAAGAACTCAATTTCTAATGCAGAAAGACCTTTTGAACGTTCTGCTATTTCATTATAGTTATCATCTGTCATGTTGTATATACCCTTACCTCGATGTCTAAATTCATCATAAAATCCCATATACAGCTCTTCCAGTTTGACTAAGTTTTTCAAGATACCCTGTTCTATATGAAGATCATCACTACCTCTCAGATCAAGTACCCTTAGCTTCTTTAGATTTCCGATTGTGGAAGGTAACATTTGGATGCAAGAATCAGCAAAGCTGAGCACTTCGAGGTTTAACAAATTTCCAATACTAGAGAAATCAAACATTTGTAATGAACATTCATGGAGATGAAGCACTCGGAGGTTGGTGGAGCATTCAGATGACAAGGGAAGCAATGGGTACTTCATTTTATCGTATGATATAACCTGAAGTTTTTGCATTCCTTCATAAAAGTTTTGAGGAAACCTTAGAGACTTATCTCCATGCATAAGTTTTAAAATCATTAGGTTTGGAAACTTAAGGTCTCCACAAAACTCACATATACCCTTGCATGTTAATGAAAGCCCTTTACAAGAGTCGTGCATATCATCTGCAGGCCACTCTAGCGTATTACCATGGTTGACAATCGAAGCATGCTCAACTTTAGAAAACATATCCAAAACAAAAGAACGGATGAGATCATGCATCTTGATGCACTGAACATCATCAACTTTTATCAACAAATTTGTATAGATGAGCCGCTCAATGCAAGTGTTGAGCCTAGTTCTTGCTTCTCTTATGGTATACACTTTTTTAAATAATTTCAATCCCCACCCATACCTCACCAACTCCTCCATAGGAATATTGGAATCTTCTGGAAACAATCCACATAGCAAAAAAGTGGATTTAGTCTCCTCGTCTTGGAGATTGTCATAGCTCGCTTTAAAAACTTTAGAGGCAACATTTTCAATGTCATGATGCTCTAAACGAGACAGTGCATCCTTCCATGCATCCGTACTTTTATCTCTAAGTGTACATGCCATGGTTTTAATGGCAATGGGTAGACCACAACACTTACTTACAATATCTTCTCCTATCTTATGGAGCTCAGGATCAGAACCTTCTACAAACTGCCAGAACAATCTTTTTGATTCTGCTTCTGTGAGAAGTCCCACATTAAAAATCGAATGACCTTCAACCCCCATCACAGTGCAAATATGTCGGTCTCGTGATGTTAACAGGACCTTGAAGTTAACACCTTGATTTGGAAATGGACTTAATCCAATATCTTCCAAATCAACAGACTGCCATACATCGTCGACTATTATTAAGAATTTATCCTTACCTACATCAGATTTGGCCTTGAACCCTTGACGAAGCATATCAGCTCTTACTGACTTAGTATTTGCATTGAGCTCTACACCAAGGTAATATGATATAGCTTCCTGAATGGAAATGGGGTCTGTCTTTTCCCCTATAACCGCCTCAATGATATAACTGAACATTCTCTTTTCTTTGGCAACCTTCTTCAGCCTTTGCATCATTGTGGTCTTCCCCACTCCGCCCATCCCACATAAGGCTATCATATGGGATTTGTGGTTCGGATCGAGTGCTTTGAGTGCTTTTGTAAAAGTCAACTCTCTTGATTGGAAGTCATTATGTTTAGTTGATAGTGTAGACGTAGATGACTTCATGGAATGAACCCTTCCTGGAGGAATGGGATGATCAGCCCAATTGATCTCTTTGTATCGTCTCATGACACTATCGATCTCCTCACTTATCTCAACAGCACTCCTTCCGGCTGTGTGTCTAATCTTTAGATTAAAACAACTGCCAATGTTGTTAGGAACATTTTCCACTTGTGTGTTGATCTTTCCTACATCATCCAGCCAACCCTTGACTTGAGCTGGAACCTCAAGATTGTTACTAATGTTGTGCCTTGTTTTCTCTTCAACACCAACTTTTGCAGCATTCAGTTCTATGATTTTGATACCCATGTCTCTCATGTACTTTGTGCACAAAATGAGGTAACGTAGGTATCTGTTAATGGGAATCATGAGAATTGGAACAACTTGTTTCATAATTTCATTAGCTGTTTCCATTGTTGGATATTCTTGTGGTAGCACCTGCATAGTAGTCAGCAATTGATCAAACACAATTCAATGGAAATTAATAATGAATGTAGCAATTGCATGTACTCTAGATTTCCATTGCATTAAGTAAGGACCGATGATGTAATCAATAAAATACAAGAAAATTGCTTTTGATTGGTATAATTTTAAAGATGGTTATAACAATTACATGCATCCTAGATTCATTTCATTGAGTAAGGTTTGAGTAGACGGATGGTGTAATGTGTAGAAAAATACATTCAGTAATCAAAGATCAATTTTACAATAAACTTTCTGCCAACTTTAAAGAAAATTAATATCAGTATTATTTAATGTTGTGGAACATGTGGAAGCCAAAACAATAATTAGGATGAAATTGTAAAGAAGGATTTAACAACGATGTCCAAGAATCAGTTTTATCCGGGGTGTTTTGGATTGCTAATTTAAAATAACTTATCCTTATTTGTAAAAGTATTTATTAGCTTTTCCCGGTATTAAAACAAAGTTTAAATAAAATTGGATTAGCTTATTCGGTGTAAAAACATAATAATTTGATAAGTTGTTTTTTAGCATTTGGCAATTTATTATGTTTATAGATGTAAAATGATCAATACAGACATATAGTTACTGTAGGGTTAATATGGTAACTTTGTTAAATTAAGTCCTAAGCTATTTAATATAAGTTAGAACCACTAACTTATCAAAAACATTTTATTTATGTCCATAAGCACTTTTACTTTTAATCTACCCAAAAACTAAAATTTATTTATCAACCAATGTCAAACTGCAAAAATTAATAAGCACCTTAAATAAGCAATCCCAAATAATCCTTTCATGTAGCATAAATAAGAGTACGGGCAGATTGAAAACAAAAACTAGAACTCAAAACCTTACTGTATGTCACCTACAACATTAGAATCTTTTCCCTGATGGTAAATTTGGTCCCTGAATTTATTATTATTTAATGCATATTCTTCAGTTTCACACTTATAATAAAGTTTTGAGAATTATATTATTATAATTAAATCCCCGTGATTTGCAACCACACCTGAGTGTTTATTAATAGATCTATCCTTTTGCCAAGAAACCTATAATTAAAATAAATTAATCAAAGATGAAATTGAAAAAACAAAAATTTGAATAATCTTTTTATGACTTTCCTCCATCAATTTGTTATTGTTTTCATGGTTGGTCTTTTACAACTTATCATTATTTAGGAAAAAAAAAATTAAAGTAAATGTTATAACTTTTAATTGGTTATTAAAGTTTAATAATCATTAAAATATTGCATATCTTAACCGGTTATATAAGGTAATATACTAATAATATAGTACGAATCAGTCATCACATTTTCATTGAACTAGAACAAAGAATAACAACCTTTTTTTTCATATTACCTATAATAAAGTTTTTAGTTTGTATTATCCAAGTCTTCTCTTGATAATTAAAAACATGGCGGATGAAATTATAAACTTAATTAGACGAAGTTGATTGAAATCATTTGTATTTAAGATCTCTCTTCTCATGTGGGAAAATAGGTTTTTATCACGCGGACACACACACTACTTATTTGATATACTATGGACTGTAAATACTGAAAAAGAAGAGTTGGGATTATCATTATTTTTAATTGGAATACTGGAGTAAGGTTGTTAGCATAAATAGTTCAAATATGTGATTTGTATAAAGATTTCATATCATAATCTAACATGAATCTAATGGAAAATAATGATATTAAAAAAAGAGAAATTAAATATCCTCCTACATTTTCTTCCATTTAAAAAAAAACAAACAAACAGATTATGGTGTAGAAATTGACATTAAACCTTGTTTTGGAAGATTTTGTAAGAAAGGAATGTTCGTATGGAGTGAAGAAACAGATTTCATAAAATAATCTGGCCATAAATAAGGAAATCAAAAGCCAGGATACTTTAAAAATGACTGCTAACTGCTTTAAATTTATGTTGATTTTCCGGTATGGAAGACATGTATAATCCAGCAACTATCCAACCTCGATTCCATTAATTAGTGGAGTCAAATTGTATTAGCTTTGGCCCCTAGACTATAATGTAATTGGTAAAAATAGTCGGTCTCATAATCTAAAATGAAATTACAGATAAACTTGTGGAATTTTCAACATGATGATAGGAACAAAATTGAAGGCTACTTGCGAAGAATGATATGCAACTTTGTCTTTATTTAGTTTGGTTGGAAAAGATAGAAAATCTTTAAAAAAATAAAAAATAAATAAATAAAAAAAAAACTATTGAGTTTGTTATTCTTTAAAACTAATTAGCATGACCAATCTGTTACTATTAGCTTGAGTTTTTCAACTTAGCAGATCAATTAATTCCAAATTAAAACAATTTTGTAGTCATTTTAGTCTCTTTCTCATCATCATTTACTACCATTATTATATCTGGGTTCGCTTCCTGTTCTTACCCAATCCCAAATTCATGCAATATCTTATGAATCATCAAGTCACAATCCAGGTTCAATTTAAAAAAAATACACAAAAAACAATGGATTGTATAGAAAATGCTTGTAAATTAATACAGTACCTGGACCTTTTTTTTGTTCTTGCAATCTTCTTCTCTGAAACTCTCTCAAACTTTTGTGAATAACATACTCAGAAGGGTATTTAAAGAGAGAAAAGCTAAAGCATCAACAGGGAAAAGCAAAAGCATTTAGATGTCAGGCCCTTGTAGGGGGTTTGGTATCCTTACTGCTTATTTAATTCTCGTCTCTTCATTAATGATCAAAGGTATATCTCTTATATGAACTTTTGTTTGTCTCATAAATATAAAAATAGAAAAATTTAGTGATTAGAAGCTAATAATTAGCCATAAGTAAATGAAAAAGGTTTATTATATCATTAATTCAATGTCAAGCAAAAATAAGTATTAGATGCGGTCGTGAAGCTATCCATAAATCATCAAGATTTTAATTTTCAAAATTATTACTGAAAAAGTAACAACGAATTTACCATTGACGATGTCAAATATAATTTGATAATTTTCATTTTAAACTACTGGGTAACCAACTTATAATTTCCTTCACATTATAACATTTTCAACTTAGAGAAATTGTAAGTTGTAACATGTTAGCATTTATTTAATTTTGTTTTTCAGTGACGTTAAATATAACATCCAAGGAAAGTAATTGAGCAGTACATATACCAAATTGGCATCCAAACATTACCACATCAAACATGTAACAAGCTTTGGAAAAACGAAATCCCAAACCTAAATCATAAAGTTTCTCAAAACCTATTCTTTTACATACTGATTATAATTTTGCTTTTTATGATCTTGATTTCTTTGGGCACATTTGTTGATAGCCAAAAGGTTTGCCTTTGAGATGGTTTGCAACGTAATGGTGACCAAAGTAGCTCTACGCCATCAATCGTTGAGAGTTTGTTGCATAATTTTTATTTTTTTACATTTCTATTGTTTCTTTTTCCAAGTATTTTATTGTTGGTTAAAAATTTCTCTTAAACTACGTTATTGTTCAAATGTTCCTTTCATTTATATTAGCAGTAGTGCCATAAAAGAAAAGTAAATTTTTTATATTGATAAGTAGTTTCCCTTTGGCTCAGTTTTATAATTCCTTTTGATATGTATTAGGCAGGAAATAAGACATGTAACAAATTTCGATCCACCCAAAAACTATATATATATATATATATATATATATATATATATATATATATATATATATATATATATATATATATATATATATATATATATTATGTGCAAAGAAGATGAACATGTCCATCTTCAAGGGGTCAACAAGATATGTACAAATAAATTTGAAATAACGGAGAGATCATGGTACGTTGACACAATTTAAGTTCAGAATTTTAATAATTGGACTAAATACAAGTAATAACAATGTAATTTCATTTATTTGTCAATTATAGCATCTTACTTTCATTTCAGCATATTACAACCATGTATGTACTTTGAAAATTCTACCAATCATAGCAGTGAAACTTATATACTTGGATGAGATTGTGATAATTGGGTAGATTTTTCAAAGTAGAATATTTGAATAAACAAATCTTATGAAAGTAGTTGTTGTCTCCCACTGAAACTGCAACCATTTTTATCCTTACCTGAGCTCTCACGGCAACAGCCCAACCTCGACCTTTTACCTTGAAGCAAGAAAAGTTGCATGATGTAGAAACAAAGCAATAGAACATAAAAAAATAGACATGTAGTCAGAAATGGAATTGAAATGAATACTAATAATCATTTGGGAGGATAATGACACACATCAAACTTTGCTTCCTTGAATAAGCACATGCTCAAGTTGTAAATCTTTCCATCCTACTGATAATCAACGCAAAAACATCATCAGGGTTTCAAGTTCTGCCAGACCTTTAGGCTTCCTAGGACATAATTATTAGGGAATCAAAACTAGGTAGCATCTTACATCTCTATTGTTTCAACCATAATAATAGGGTTAAGACCCTTTTTGAGCCAACAAAGGTATATTAACATCTCTATGGCTTCTCCTATATGATGAGTATCCTTGTCTATGAAGAATAGGCCCAACATAACCTCTACAATCACAAATATGCCAACAACTAAACTTCACACTGAATTAAAAAAACAAAATATAATCAGTTGCCATAGCAACTTTTATTGTTACTTCCTCTGTTCTTTCTACTTATTTCTTAATAATATAACTACTAACACCTACAGATTTAATATATTCATCAATTAAACCATACAACTAAGAGACTAAACACCTAACCTCCAAAATTTACTCTTAAGGATACTAACCTGCATCTTGAGGTTATTGTATGTTGAACATGTCAAATCCTAAAGTGTACAAAGTTACAAACTATTGTCTTAAAATATTAAGCACTGATTTGTAATCGGTAAATATAATTACGTGATATAACGTACCTTACACTGATTTTTGAGCATGCTTTTTTCATTCAACAAAACTCCCAATTTGATATATTGGCGTACCAATATTTAGGGTTCGGGATTTTACCCTGATAATCGTCTCGCACTCTTGATTCCTTATCTTTTAGCTGATTTCTTAACTGGTTGAGCCTCTGACTTATACTCGATCTTCATTATTATTGCTTAAATTTGGAAGTCACATTCAATTCACTTATGTCGTTATAAACTGCACACAAACACTTTACCCGTTTCTAAATTTGGGAGACGATCAGACGAGGTAAAAAACAGAAAGTTTTTTTCTAATGGTCCCCATCATTTTGCATAAAGGTACCCAAAATTCCACACTAAAACCAAAATATACCCTCACCTAAACAAGTTTATGCTTCCTCATGCGAAAAATTAGTAATTCAACATTTGTGTGCATTTTATACATAAAAACCACTTTTGACGTTTAGTTGCATGATATTTTAGAATAGGGATGATCATATAACCCGTTGGACCGGACCGGACCGGAAAAAACCTGGGATCGGACCCGGACCGGACCGGACCGGATATTCTTATAGGTGGGCCGGTTTTCGGGTTGTTTTTTACTAAAACCGGGTTTCGGGTTTTGTTTTTTACTAAAACCGGGTTTCGGGTTTGGACCGGACTGGACCCGGAATAAAATTGTAAACCCGGACCGGACCGGAAATCAAACCTTATTAATAAGTTAATAATACTATTTCCTTAATTCCTTTTTTGAGTGTACAAAAAAAAAAAACAATTGAAGCCGATACAAGAAACCCTATCGACGGCTTGATTTCTTTGAGTTCGTTCTTAGTGTCAATCGATGCTTTCTTCCCTCTTGCTCTCTAATACTTCCTCTCCTCTACAATGGTTATTGAAAATTGGGTTGGTTCCATGGAAGATAATCAAAGTCAAGTAAGTCTCAATATTTTTTATGTTTGATGTCGTAAACTCGTAATGTAAGTTTTAACCGTGGGTCGTTTTTCTATTATGTTTTAATCATGGGTACGTGATTGCCCCATGTGGACTCTTTCTTGCCAAATAGTGTTAGATTGCATTTATTACGGCATACACAAGCTACACGTACGATGAATGCCCCATGTGGTGGAACTAATTACCAGCCAATAGTATGGGTTTCATATGATGTTGTATTAATATATTAGATTTAGAGTATGGGTATTGTAATAAGATAATGTAGTATGGGGTGAGTATTAGTTAATGGTGTATTAGCCTATTAGGTATTATATATACATGTTGCAGTATGGTAATCAAACATCCAACTTACTTCAATCCAAGTTAATAAGTTTGAAAAGATGTAGTTGCAGCAAGCTCCGCCTGATGCTGTTAATTAGTCTTGGTTTTGATTTTATATTTCTGATCATCTGAGACTTCATCTCCTCTTAATGAGGATTCAACTTTCTTCCTGGATTCAACTTTTAAGATTTGGGATTTGAGATTTTTTTATTATTTAATTTCTACTTTTGAGATTTTTTTTATTATTAACTATTTATATAATATGGCAATTGTTACTGTATTTGTTGTTTGTTAAGATTATATAACACCCCACATATTATTAACTAAGTAATTGTTTTTACTTTATTGTATTTTTATTGTATTGTAGGATGATGATGTCTTTGTTGATAACACCCCACATATTATTGATGATGATGATGTTGATACTAACAAAGGAGACATAAATATTAAAGATAACACTGCATTGCCAAAGAAAGAAAATAAAAGAAAACGGGCACCACAAAAAAAAGGTCAAAATGTTGGGATTCAATGGAAGTGGTTATGGACGAAGATGGAAAGAAAACCAATAAATCTAAGTGTAAACATTGCTTTAAAGTCTTTAATTCCGATGTAAACACAAATGAAACTTCTAGCTTACTTAGACGTGCAAGAAAATGCAAACAAAATCCGGATAATATTAAAGGGCAAAATACTTTACAATTTAAAAAACAACCTCTTGGGGATGGTACTAGTGTCACCGTATGGAAACACGATGAAGACCGGATTAAAAAAGCTATGCTAAACTTATTTGTTGTAGGTGAACTCCCGTTTAAATTTGTGGAAAATGAAGCTTTTATAGAATACACAAATGCTCTAAACGGGAAAGTCAAAATACCATCTAGGCATAAAATTAGCCGTGATGTTGCCAAGTTTTATGTTGAAGAAAGGAAGAAGTTGTTAACTTTCTTTGCTAATCCACACAACATGATACACTTGACAACCGATAGTTGGACTTCATCGTGTCAAAAAACGAATTACATGGTTGTTACGGGGCACTTCATAGATAACGATTGGGTCATGCATAAAAGGATTTTAAATTTTAAACCAATAGATACTCATGTGGGAGAAGACGTGGGACGTTTGTTACTTGAATGCATACATGAGTGGGGGATAAAAAATGTGATGACTATAAGTGTGGACAATGCCACTACAAATGACAAAGCATTGGAATTCTTGACCAAAAAACTTCCCAACTTGTATGAAGGTGGAAAACATTTTCACGTTAGATGTGTGGCTCATATTTTGAACTTAATTGTGAAAGATGGGTTAAAATATCACAATACTCACGTGTCATGTGTTCAAAGAGCGGTGAAATACATTAGACATTCAACCGCTAGAATTAGGAAGTTTAAAAAATGTATGAAGGATTCCGACTTAGAAGAGGATAAGTTTTTATGTGGAGAGTGTCCAACGAGGTGGAATTCGACATTTGAGTTGTTGAAGAGCGCTTTGAACTTAAAAGATGCTTTTTTTGAATATGAAGTTAAAGGTAAAAATGTTTTTTTTTTGTTGTTATTTTTTACAAATAAAAGCTCTTAGAGTGCAATTTTTTTTATTAAAATTGCTATTTTTTTGTAGACACCTCATTTGCACGTGATCTAAGTAGAGTCCTGCAGCGTACCGATTTCGAAGTGATAGAAGAGGTTATAATGTTTCTTGAAAAGTTCAAAACAAAAACGGAGATGTTGTCGGCTTCATCAAAACCGTTGGTACAAGCTGTTTTACGGGAAATTATAGATGTTGACCAACATCTAGAAACGTGTTCAACAAAAGTACATCTTTGCCATATGATCCCCGACATGCGTACCAAATACAACAAGTATTGGGGTTCAATAGAAAATTTGAATGATTTCACGTGTTTTGCCGTATTATTGGACCCCGTCTATCTTTTTGTCAGCTATCATCAAGAAGATGATCGAAAACACGAGAACGGAAGAAAACATATTGTTGGAAAGCACCATAAAATTGAATACGATGTCTACGGTGCGGGAAATTGAAAAAAGAATGGAAAATTTATTTAAAACCTATGAAGAAAAATATGCAAATGTAGGTTCGTCTCAGAAAGTAAAAGAAGTTGTAAGTTGTGATGTGGGTAACGATTTTTTGGACGCTTTCTTGATGGGACAAGGAGACACGTCGGCGACAGTTGAAAACGAATTGAGAAGATATTTAAATGAACCTAGAGTGACTTTTGATAAAATTTTTGACATCCTAGATTGGTGGAAAAAAAATGCATTGCGTTTTCCGATAGTCGCTCGTATGGCAAAAGGTAATTCTATTATTTATCTTTGTTTTCTTTTAGTTAAGTTATAAATTATTATATTTATAATTTTATGATTGCTTGTTGTTAGATATTTTGTCCATACAAGTGACGACCGTGGCGTCAGAATCCGCTTTTAGTACTTGCGGTCGAATTCTAGATGAGTATAGAATACGTTTGAATAAGCCGATTGTTGAAGCTTTAGTATGTACCCAAGATTAGGTAAGAAAATCACGAAACCCATTATAGATGATGATGAAGACATATTGAAGGATGATGGCATAGCGTTGGGTAGTAAATTTAAATCATATTTTATTTATTTGTTGTTTGTTAAAAAATTTAGATGCTCACTATGCTTTGGTGTTAATTATATAGAGATTGAAGCGGCGATGGAGGAAAAAGAAGACAGAGGGAATGGAAAGAAGCCGATTGAAGTTTAATTGTTTTTTTCATAAATTGTTTGTTTTCGTATAATGGTAATTTGGTTTAGTACATGGTTATTATTAGTTTGGTTATTATTATTTTGGTACAATAATATTTTGGTAATTTTGGTTTGCTACTTATTACATTTACATTCATCTTCAATTATGTATTTTTTTTATTCCAATTGTGCAAACAACAAAAATACGAATGATGGATATTACGTAGTAAGATTATAACTTGAAATAGTATGATAAAGACTAGAGAGTAATATTACAAACAAAACCCGAAACCATAAACAACAAAGATACAAACAAAACTCGAAACCGTAAACAAAACTGCAAAAGTATAATTCGGTCCAAAACCCGAAACCCGGTTTAATATCGGGAACCGGACCGGACCGAACCCGGACCCGGTACACGCAAAAACGGTCCGGTTTTCGGGCAAGGTAATTCATGATTTTCAGTCTTCGGGTTTTCGGTCTTCGGGCCGGTCCGGTCCGGGTTTGACCCGTTGCTCATCCCTATTTTAGAATATTTTATTAACAACGCAAGTCTATGTCTCATCTTAATCTACCTGGCAGGACAAAAAGTTGCATCAACAAGTGTTTGTTTTCCTATGACAAACAAGGTGTCTCAAAAGGTACTTCTATTTATTATAACATCTTATTTTCATTTTTCCGTATTGCAACAATGTACTTCCAAATTTTTGTTTATTTATGAATGCATTATACTATAGAAAAACTACTTAGTTCTAGCATTGTACTTTCAACACTTTTCTTATTGAGATCACTTGTACTATGAACATTCTACCAGATTATATCAGTGAAAGTTGTTTTGTAAAGAAATGAAAGTAGGATGATATAACAAATAGATAATTGAAAATACGTTTAACCCTCAAATGAAGGTGTTGACATTTTATTCTTCAAATATCGATTAATAATCACTTGTATAGTTCCTAACTACCTAATTCATAAGCATGAAGTTTCTTATATGGGATTGGTCACATCGATTAAAAGTAAAACACTTTCTATTTTGAGTTGGGGCCAAATAGAGAAATGGACAACGTACTTTCAACATTCTATTGATTTAGCTCATTTGACTACTTTTCATAGTGATTAAACCATTGCATTTTTGTTGCTTAAAACACTACTAGAAATGTGTGGTTTTTCCAATGGCCATATCTAATGTATTCCGTCACTAAATGTCATTTCAAATAGATTTTCGACGGGAAGTAGGTTTTCGTAAAAATGATCATGGGTAAGTATTTACGATCAATTTCCGATGGATTTGTGAAGAATTACAAACGAACTGTCTTTTTATGGATTTCTAATAGACTATTTCAGCTTTTAGTGACAGATGATTTCGTCACTAAAATGAGTAAAAAAAAATTAAGAATCCA